CTAAATAACATGCTGTTGCTATCTGCAGAAAGTATTAAAGCATGAAATCCCGCATTTTTAATGTACGAAAGCATCCTGTATCATAACTACATGTGTGCCGTTTGTAACAAACCAAACCGCGTGAAAATCAGTTGAAAATTCAGTGAGTTATTCTATTTTACTTGTGCATACAGCTCCTTCCTCAATAGAAGTGAATGCACTGTGGAGGCGAAGCGAGACCCATCCAAGATGGCGGCCGGCGAGGACGTCGGCTCCAATAGGCAGCGGCAGTCAATGCGGCGTCTATGTATATATATATGTCTATGTTCCTATTGGGGGACAACCGGGGACGACAGGCGGTTGTTTTCGAAAGAAATTCGCCTACAGTTCAGCATTACTGTTTTTTTAAACTGATAATAGATTAAATTAGCATTAGCATTAGTCTAATCTTGAGAAAAACCACCGAAAACGATTTTTGTGTGCTCATTTAATTTTGTGGACAAAAAGCCATCAAAGGAACTTCCGGATCCTACCTTGTGGTCGGGCGACGACAGACCAGCAGAAGAGAGAGTGAAGACGATCCTGAAAATGAATGACAACAGTGCCACAATAGCAGGTATGAGTTCAATTGTAACATTAGGGACTGTTGTTTACTTAAAAGAGAAGTGGGGTGGTTGGGGTGTGACTTTGTTTTTGGTTGGTTGTTGTTTTATTTTGACCTTTCACCAAGCTACAGATCCTTGCGTGTCTGTGAGTGCCTCACAGAAAATGCATGAGCCTCCTTCCACTGTAAAGTTGTAGACGAAATCCTGGAGTTGAAAAAAGCCTTGGATTTTCACTTTTGTCATGCATGTTGGTTGTTTAATGCAAACAGTTAACTTTTGGCCAATTCCTAAAAGTGATGTAGAATAAAGGGATTTATATGAAATATCACTATTTTAAGCTGAGATTTGTTTCGTTGCACAAGTGTCCAAGGACCACCGGACATTTGAAGACCCAGTGATAATTTCTGGTGTAATTTTGGCATTTTTTAAAGAAAAATTGTCATGTTTTCTTTAAAAATCAGTGGTACAATAAACACAAACTACAGCCACTTAAATTTGTATGCTCCTCCCCTAAGCCAAAATATAAAATATAATGTGTTCAAACCAAACGTGATGCAAATTTTCGTGTCACATTTCATGCGTGAGTTTGAATGCTAGAATTTTTTGTGTTGACTCGCCTCATAGGCACAAATAACTCACATCATACTAATGTGAAATTGCAAAATCAATAAATGAACTTCTGCCGGTATGTCCTTGGTGTCATACGTCCCTGGAGGATCTCAATGCTGATTGGCTATTGCTGCACAAATTGGTCTCTTAAATTCAGATTTTTCAACTCTTGCAAATAAGCTTATGATGTGAAATTGCGCTACTTGTGTAACTCAGGTTGCGTCCATCGCGCTGCCCGGAATTCACATCTAATTGAATCTGTATATTGACTTTACATGTAATCCACTCACAATAATTTTTTATTCGCGCCCAATGTGAACACAACATAGGTCCCTAGTGCCCCACTACCTTCCCCCTAATAATAACGAACAGTCCCTTTAGTGTTTGTGAGGTAACCTTAATGACAGCTAGGTAATTTCACTATTTTCTGTACCGTTTAAGATTTAAGGCAATATGGCACATAATGCAGGCAGCATTAAATTAAAACAGTTTATGTATGGCTATCTGTTTGTAAAAAGAAATAGATATTGGTGCAGTTTCTCGTTTAATCTCCCAAGATCTTTCACAGATATTTTTTAGAAACTTAAGTTAAAATATTCACTACCAGTGGTGGAATGTATCAGAGTACATTAACTCAATGACTCTACTTTAGTACAAATTTGAGTTACTTGTACTTTTACTTGATTCCTTTCTCATCATGCCACTTCCTACGTCTACTCCACTACATTCAGAGGGAAATTTTGTACCTTTTAATTCACTACAATTTTTTGACTCCTTTTACATGTTAAGGTCTTTGCACACAAAACATATAAGTAGTTTATAAAATATCAGTGTATAGGGCTAGGCCTACAAGTAGAGCTTGCATGATTAGCTAATTAGTTGTTTGGCAGAATTATTTTGTTTCAGTCATTTTTTATGTAAAAAAAAATTAAGGTTTCCAGCTTCTCAAATACGAGGATTTTTCTGTATTGAGCACTTTTACATTTAATAGCTTATATACATTTTTCTGATTATACTTACATACTTTTACTTGTAACAGAGTATTGTTAGATTGTGGTACTAGTACTTTCACTTAATTAAGGATCTGAATACATCTCCCACCACTGTAAAACTAAAAAGTGTTAGCAGCACAATAATATCTGTGATAATATTTCATACTCCTTATAATTGTGAACTGTATTGTTACCCTCAGATGAGCGTGGCAAGATGAATGAGGAGCCATGTTCAACATCAGAGCCTACCCGTGATGCCCAAACACAGTGGTCAGACCCAGGGATGGAGGACCACACCTATTCAAAAGTGCCTCGTATCATGAGTGCACCATCCATAAAACCATCACACCCTGTTGCAGATAGTGTTTTGGAGAGTTTCGCAGACTCCCTCTTGTATACAGGGATTCAGCTCATTGAGTTTCACACCCTTGTGTCCTGCCTGCAACCATTCGCCCCTGCTTCATCATCAATGCCTGTTGTGGACCAAATCCTAATGACCTTAATGAAATTAAGACAAAACTTTGACATGGCTGATTTAGCACGGCGATTTAAAACCCCACAACATCAGGTCAAAAAGACTGTTGGAATGTGGATAGACATAATGTCTGAACACATTAAGGATCTTATTCCATGGTTGCCCCGTGAAACAATCAAAGATACATTGCCACAAGCTTTTAAAGAACACTTTCCAAACACAATCTGTGTAATTGGCCGTACAGAGACTGTTACGCAGAAAGCCACGAAGCGACACTCTGTAACTGAATTACAAAGACACTACTATGGCAACAACACTGTGAAATATTTGGTGGCAATTTCTCCTTCTGGAATTATCATGTTCATTTCAGATGCTTATGATGCCAAATGCAGTGATCGGTACATAATGCAGACCTCGGGGATTCTGAACTATTTGCGTGCTGGCGATGAAGTGATAATGGGTGACTGGGGTTTCACAGCACGAGACTTGCTGGAGGAGTGTAGGGTGAACTTTATCATGCCAGCATTCACAAACAAAAAATGCCAGCTGACAAAGGAGGAGGTCACTCGCACACAGTGCATCGCTCATGCCAACAGACATGTTGAACGGGCAATAAAGCGTCTGAAGGTGTACAAAATTCTCTCTCAACCAGTGCCAATTAAGTTGGTCCCAAAAATTACTAAAATGCTCAAAATCTGTGCTGGTCTGGTGAATTTAAGAGGTGAGTTTAAGTGAGAAGACATTTAATATTACACGTAAACACACATACATACACATTTCATTTGTTCAACTGACATTTATTTGAGGTAGAAATATAAAATGTGTGTGTAGGGAAAAAAAAAATTGTTCTCACAGTCGTATGCAATGGTGGAATGTAACTAAGTACATTTACTGTAAATTCTGTACTTGGGTACAAATTAGAGGCACTTGAACTAAACATGAGTCTTTTTAATGTCACTTTCTTCTTCTTCTTTTCCACTACATTTCACAGGGAAATATTGTACTTTGTTCCCCACTACATTTATTTGGTAACTTTAGTCACTTTACAAATTGAGATTTACACATAAAACATATGAATAGTGAAATGTGATGGTTTGTTATTAAACTACCCATCAATATCCCAGCCTACAGCCTCAAAATGTTAGGATTTACCTTTACTGAATACTTTATTTTCTTGATTATACTTAGATACTTCTTCCACATGTGGTTGTATGTCCTAATGTGTCTGGAGAGGATCTTTAAGGTTTTATGTTTTTAATAAAACTAAAAACAAAAAGGAGTCAGTTGTACAGTTTTTTCCCGAAAGTTTATACTACCTTCATAAAGTGTTCTTGGTGTTTGCTGTTACAGTGTTACAGCAACATTACTTTTTTCCCAGTAACGAGTAGTGTAACCATAAACTAAAAATAGTGTCATGGATAACTAATAAAATCTCAGTTGTAATATTACAACCCCTACTGATTTAAAATCCAACAATCAATCACATCCCTGGATTCATTTTCGTTGATCCGACACTGTTCACAACCTACACTTAGTTTTTAAAATTATCGGAAGAAGCATTACTTTTATTTTGGAAATACTAACCGGAAGCCAGACGCTCAATCTCGCGAGATGAGTCTGGCCCTGAACTGCAAAATACCAGAGCGATAGATAAGAACAAAATACGTATTTTTCCACCATTTTTTCTACCGGTCTGTCACTGGGTTCAGTAGTATTAGTAGTTAGTAGGTAAACCACCAGGTGATACAGCGGACAGGTGAGTTGCGTGTGTCCCGGGTCAGAGTCTAAATGAAAGCTGTAATTCTCGCTGCTGGGTACGGAACCAGGCTCCAGAGGGATGTGGTGGCCGACAGCAGCGGGAGGTTCGCTCACCTGGCTGGGACTGCCAAGCCGCTGCTGCCCGTGGGACGGTGTGCTCTGATATCCCACTGGGTCCGTGCTCTGAGCGCCTCTGGCTGTGTGGATTGCATTTATGTTGTTGTAAGTAGCTCAATGCAGGCAGTGGTGCAAAGTACAAGCCTGATTCAAAAAACAGGTTAATTGGTGACAGGTGATAGTATCATCATAGGATACAAGCAAGGATGGTCAGTGTGTGAAAAGAGTGTGTGGCACTGGGCAGCTGATTCAATTTTAAGAACATTGTTTCACCACACTCAATTGCAGAATTTAGGGATTTAATCATCTATGATCCATAATATCAAAAAAAAAATAGTTTAATGATAAATAAGAATAAATAAAAAGATTCATAAGATCCAGAGAAATCTGCATGAAAGGGGCAAGACTAAAAACTAGTCTTGAATGGCTGTGACCTTTGACCATTAAAATCAACATGACTGTATGAAGGACATGACTATTTACTCAGGAACACTTTTACGTAAAGTGAAAGCCATATATCAACAACATCCAGAAAAGCTACCAACTCCTCTCTACCTGAGCACATCTGAGATGGACAGACACAAAGTGGAAAAGTGTGCTATGGTCTGACACGTTCATATTTCACATTGTTTTAAGAAATCATGGACATTGTGTCCTCCGGGCTAAAGAGGAAAATGACCAACCAGATCGTTACCAGCACAAAGTTCCAAAGCCAGCATCTGTGATGGTATGGAGGTGTGTTAGTGCCCATGGCATCATGGACAGCTTCCCATTTGTTAAGGCGCAATGAAGGTTTTGGGGAAACATATGCTGCCATCATTATGAAATCTTTTTCAGGGACGTCACTGCTCATTCTAGCAAGACAGTGAGACATATTCTGCATGTTACAACAGCGGGGCTTCATAGTAAAAGAGTTCAGGTGCCAGACTGCCCTGTCTGCAGTCCAGACCTGTCTCCTATTGAAAATATTTGACACATTATGAAGCGCAAAATAGCACAGTGGAGAATTTCACTTTTTAAAACTTAAACATTTAGTTTCCTCTGTTCCCAAATGCTTACTGAGTATTGTTAAAAGGTAAGGTGATGTGACACAAACATGCCCCTGTCGTAACGTTTTTTAAAACATGTTGCAGGCATCAAAATCAGAATTAGTGTATACAAAAAACAATTAAGTTACTCAGTTTAACCATTAATATCTTGTCTTTGGATTGTATTCAATTGAATATAAGTCATAAAGGATTTGCAAGTGATTGCATTCTGTTTTTATTTATGTTTTACACAGCATCCCAACTGTTTTGAAATCGGGGTTGTAATTTGTAATTTACTCATACTCAAGTATTGTTCTGAAATCCATTTTTTAATACCTAAGTCTTTTCATTTGGTACTACTTTAATGTACTTAATCTCAGATAGACATAATTTAAAGAAATGTTACGTTTGATTGCACTGAGTTAGCCTATATTTATGTAACATTTATACTTTCCAGTTGCCCTGCATATTTTAGTTTAAAATATGATGCATTGTTAAATAATAACTACCCAACAGCATATTCAGCAGGTTTATTAGCTCCATGACATTAGTTACCTGCATCCTATTGTTAGATGTTAATTCATCAATGATCATAGGTCAATCGTAAGACACTCATATATGAGCGATCCTGACAAATTATTTTTTCATTTTCTTCTTCCTCTTATTATTGTTACTATTATCTTCATTACTAGTTTGAGTAGATTTTGCATATGATAATGATGATAGGTTTTTTTTAAGCCAATACAAATGTTTTTTCGTTAAAATATATCTAAACCTTAACGTCTCTACACTGCCCTCCGGTGGTCACAATGCTTAACTACACCCTGCTGTATTTAGAAAGTTTTATTTTGAAAGTGCTCACAGGAAGTATGTTGTTGTGTGTCTTTACACTTTATAATGATCTGGATCTCTACTGCCCTACTGTGGTCATAGAGTGTAACTACACTTGGTTCTGTATAATTATGCACTGTGACCAGAGGGCAGTGAAGAGACAATGCGCGGTATTAAGTTTAACTATACAGCGTGTAAAAGCAAACAGCGCATTAACAATTCTCCTACTATGCATTCTAGAAATTACTTTTATTAATTCTGTAAATACATTTAAAAAAAAAAAAAATCACAGTAGGTACGACATTGTGACTGCTTTTACATTCCATTCATATTCACGTTTCGAGACTGCCCTCCTGTGGTCATAGTGTGTAACTACGCCACCGTCTCTGTGCAGTTGTACTCTGTGACCACAGGGGGGCAGTCTGGACACTTGATTATGAATTCAAACTAAAGTGTACAGTCATACAAAATAACATGCAAACACTTCCGGCAGACTCTTTTAAAATAAAAGTTTCCCTATACAGTTTAGATATGCACTGTGTTTATGTATGTCCACAAATACTTTAATGATAATCAGCTGTATTAAGCTTAACATCAGTGTAAAGGCAGACACAACTGCATATGTTCACTTCCTGTGAACTCTTTCAAATTAAACGTTTTCTTAAATTGTGTTTTTATTGTTTAAAATATATCCTTTGTTTCTATTTTTGTGGAAGTTTCTTTTTACATAGACAATTATGTGCAGGGTGTTAGTCCACCACTGAATACAGATATTTACATTTTTTTATGTTGTCAATCAATTTAAATTTTCTTTAAAGCCAAACTTTGTTTAGCTGCAATAATTAATTAAATAAATGTAGAAAACACCCTAAGTATTCAGACCCTTCCTTTAAGTAAAAGTACTAATAACACACAGTAGAAATACTCTGCTACAGTAAAAGTCTTGCATTAAAATGTTGCTTCAGTAAAAGTATAATCAATAAAATGTAGTTAAAATATAGAAAATGTCTCTTGTGACTGTTTTACTATTGTATATGATCTCATTAGATGATTCTGTAAAAAAGCAGGATTTTACTGTTGTTGGTTGAGGTGGAGCTCATTTTGAACTATTGATTTCCAGTCAGTCAGTTAGCCACTAATCATTTAAATTTTCATTTTGTTTTGTGTGCGAAAATGTAATTTGCAAACTAACTAAAGCTGTCAGATAAATTTATTTCAGTCATTGTCATGGAGTAAAAAAAGTGGCGTAAAAAGAAATACTTTTAATAACACTGTAATCAACTATATCACACTGAATATTTACAACAAACTGTTCCTCTTCTTTTCTCTCTCCTCACTGCTCTCCTCCCCACAGACTAACGCTCTTTACCATGCTGCATTTGAAGAGTGGGCATCACATTTCTCAAATGTCAAGATTCTCAGCGATCAGACGAGATGCAATGATGTAAATACAGTTTCATAATCAGTGTTTTCCATGTCATTACTACCAATGTCACATGTTTGGCCCTTAGAAAGTAGATTTTTTTTTTTTTTTTTCACACCATCCTCTGACTCAAGCTAACTTTGTATTCCACCAGGAGCGTCTGGGTGCTGTGGCCTGCCTGCAGCTTGCAGTGACGCACTTCAAGATAGAAGACCATGTCTTAGTGATTGGGGGGTAAGTTTACTGAGTTCACATTATCAACACTACCATGCAGTGTTGTTGTTCAGAAAACAAATGTGCAAATGCAATTGTCCAAATTCAAGTCCTGTCTCTGCCAAACTGATACAACTTTGTATCCATCCATATCAGTGACACCCTCTTCAAAGAAGACTTTAGTCTCAGTAAAGTAAAAGAGAGGTTTTCTGACCTCCAAGCAAAGTGTGAGGACAGCTGTCTGGTGCTCTCATACCAGTGCAAAGAGGAAGGTGAGTAGGAAATAAGGCTTTGATAAAGATAGTCGATGCAGGAGTTTCCTAAAAAACATAATACTCATACAGAAGAAATCCCTCTTAGTCATCCCCTGACCCACTAGAAGTGTGTGGAAGTGTATTTTCCTGCAGAGACTGCCTTCTGCCTGATTTTCTTATTTTTTCTGTTTGGGACGTTTATGGGCGTTTGCCCCCACAGCACTCAGGTGAGGTTGGGGCTTTATAAAAAAGGTGGCGACCAGGTGCCACAGCACAGAAAAACGCAAATAAAGTAAAGCAAAATCTCAACCAGAGTGAATCTGGGGTTGGCTCTTACTTTGAGTTTTGCTGATGAGTGTTTTTACAAACAGTAACCAACAATCCTGCGTAGTATACCATTAAATTTAAGACTGCGGAAGCTGTCAGATAAGGAAGTGATAGGTCATAAACTGTCTGACGTGACTTGGCTCATGCTCACAACTAGTTCTGTGTTGTGCATCTGTACAGAAACTCATAAATATGGGATATTGGAAGTGGACAGGGATCTCCGCGTCCTGTGTATGAAGGAGAAACCTCTTCCCTCTGAAACAATGTCAAGGAGAGCAGTAAGTTCACTATAAACACTGAACATGTCTTGTAATCCTTGTCCACATGAACATAAAAGATCATTTAAGTCTCTGCAAAACAAGGGGAGAACCACCTCAAGTTTGACTTACAGTCTTGAGGGGAATGGGTTAAGGGCAGGAAAGAGCTGCCAGTCAGATTCTCTGTCACTGCAGTGTGGTCAGATACTCTCCCAGGGCTGTTGTCTTCTATCTGTTTGGCTCGCTGGTTTCAGGGTTATTTTGCCCTCAGTTTGGTCTTCAGTAAATATATAAACCAAAGTTTGTCAAAACATTGAGCTCATCAGCCATAAAAAAAACCTCTCTCTGGCTGCCTGTTTAGAATCATTGTCATTAAATTGGGGAACTGTGTTAAAAAGGGTTCACCCAAATATGGATGTCAGTGTGACAACACTCAGCTGAAAATTTCCATTTGTTTTTCAGTGTCCCTGTTTCTATGTGTTTTCAAAGAAAAGCCTTCCTCTACTGGACACCTTCCTTGAGGAAAAGAAGGTACATCTACTACTCCTCAGTCCCATGTGTGATGTGAATTAGGAGTAAATTGTCTTTTCACTATTTTGCTCAACATTTTATTTCCATAGGAGACCCCTATTGATGAGAAAGATGCCCCAGGAAACTTTGTGTCTTGGCTCATTCCAAGGTAATATCTGTTGGACCCCCCCAATGTCAGAAGTCAAGGTTTTACTTGGTAAACTTTTTCTAATCATTATGTAATACTGCTTTGTGACAGGCTTCTTGTCTGTTTGTGGGTCTTTACTGTGTCACACTATAAGATTTGGATGGGTGTTTGAGTGTTATATTTTTTTATGCATGTCAAATTATGCAAATATTGGACTAAAACAAATCCATTTTCAAACCAGTTTATCAGTGTATTTCTCAATAAATGACACTGTCGCATTTTTTTGTTTGTTTTTTTCTTTCTGTCTTTCAGGAAGCCAGTATACATTCATCAGATTTCTGGGCGTTTCGATGTTGGGAACTTGCCTTCCTATATTGATTGTGACCTTTACTTCAGAGAAAAACTTCAAGATGTTGAGTCATACATGGTGTAGAGGAAAATACCATATTTATTATGCCATGTTAAAAAATTTATCCAAGACCAGCACACACAAAACAGATAGTCAAATGTGAACTTTTTGCAAACTTCAAGAATCTGTCTGTGACAGTAAATCAATAACTAATGTAAATAGGCCTATAATCTCAATTGTATGTAATTTTATATTGATCTTTTCTACTAAAAATGATTTTTATACTCTTTTAATTAAAACCAGAGATTTGTCTACTCAGTTAGGAGTCTTGTGCATTTGTCAGAGGCCTTTTCTTGACTGTCCTCCATCTTGGCGATGCGGGAGCCAAACTGCATGGCTCTCTTGGGCAAGACTGCTGACTGGCCTAGGCCCAGCTGCTTCGCCGTCAGTCTCAGGAGCAGTTTCTCCCCGACACCCCGAGGGAGTGACAAGTCTGCCTTCTCCCACACCGGCAGAGAATTCAAGTAGCTCACCACATCCTCGTCCAAGTAGGGAAATCTGCAGATGCCAGAGTTACATTTGTCAGAAACTCTACCCAGGGGTGTCGAACTCATTTCAGTTCATACAGCCCAGGTTGATCTCAAGTGGGTCAGACCAGTGAAACCACTGCATGATAACCTGTAAATAACACCTACAAATGTATCCCCCTTTTTTTAGAGTAAAGACGTACAAATAGTCTACATTCTGAACACGTTCACAATTAATGAACAATCCATTTAAAAAAAAAACAAAAAAAACATGATGAACAGCCTCATGTCTGATGTCTTATGAAAACTAAGTACAATTTCAACAGTATATCTTTTTCAGCATGCAACTCACCCCTAGAGTATGGATTTGATGCTGATGCTATCTGGTTAGCAGTTAAGTATCTAGCTTTCACAGCTTTTTTAGTTATACCTGTTGCCAGGTAAAATATGCAATTTCACGCACTTTTGGTTCTGGTAATATGTAATGGGAACTTAAAACAGGTGCCACACTTACCTGGCCTCTTTCCCATGGTCCCCTATCACTCTGTCATCTCTTCCCAAATTCCTGGAAGGGATCCTGCTCAGCTCCATGGCCAGTTCCTGGATCAGTCCCTCATGTCCAGACATCTTAAATCGGACTCTGTGTCTTGAGTAACCTGCCAGCTGCTCATCTGCTCCGATTCCTGTCAGAATTACCTGCAGTCATAAAGCAGCAACACAGAACAGCAGGTCAATGTGGTTGTTGGGAATTGTGAAACATCTCTTGATTTCAATTTGTTTTTGTTCTATTATCAGTAAGAAATGATGCATTTGTGACTTTATATTTTTGCAATGATTGTGACCCTACTGTTTATCCCTTTGCACTCACACCTGTGTTATAGCCCAGTGGACAGTTGCATCAAATCCCCTGCATTGATAAAAAGTTAAACAAAGCTCAGAAGCCTTTGCTCCTGGAAAGTGCGAAGTTTGGTGTTTGTACCTCACCTTTGCTGTTGATGTGAAGGGCCTCCGGTCACTGTCCTCTGCGATGAACCCTGTCCCTCTTGCTGCAAACCACACAGCACATCCAATGCTGTCATCAAGCACCGTATCCAATGGATGCACCAAATGACAAATGCGCTCCTGGCGGACTTCCTGCAACTCCTCTTTTGTTACATTGATTTCGACAAAATTCCATCTTCTTTCAGGATTCAAGTCTTGTAATTCCTGAAGGCCAGCTTTTCCGGTGATTCTGTCTGGAACATTAAAGGGGCTGGATATTTGGGGATCAGCTTCATCACTCTTAGAATCTGTTGGCTTGTATTTGTGCTTTTTGGGTTTCTTTGCAGACTCTTTCTGCTTCTTTGGCTCCTGTAGCTTGAATGCTACATTCAGAAGGTCTATTGGTTGATGAGCAGGTACGTGACGGTCAGCTAAGGCAGCCAGGATCATTGAATCAATACCTCCTGAAAAAAGTATAGCAATACTAGCATTGTTAGTAGAGGGAGGGCACTCTTCTTGTACCCTGAATGGCAAAGACTGAACACGTCGCCTTACTGCCTCACTGAGAACATCAATAAGATGGTTCACCTCACTGTTTTTCTCTTTGCTTGCAAGCAGCTGCTCCAGATCCTGAACACATGAATATGACTTTGGATCAATTTCTTTCTCATTTAATGACTCTGGAATGGATGTATTTAGAGGACACACAGGTGAGGTGAGTACAAGGCCAGACTGGTTCATCACAGCAGCGCAGCCACTGGGGACAGACTCCAATATAGTTTGACTGCAGCTCAAGACTAGATCATTTCCCCCATGAGCCCAGGGATAAACCTCAAATGTCACAGAGCCAGCTTCTGTAACTGCCTTCAGGTCAATCCGATACACACCAACTGCTGGGACCTCTTGCCAAGCAGACTGTGCATGTCCAGAGCTGTGGGCTGCCACAGAAGTCAGGGTCAAGGCCTGGTCCTCCGCATCGAATTTCCACAGCAAACTCCGCCTACCAAGGAAGTCTCTGCCAAACCAGAGGTAGTCTCCAGCCCTCTGGTAGTAAACAAACCCCCATGGTCCACGTACACGGGACAGGACTGACAAAATCTCTGAAGAGCTACTGCAGGATGAAAGCCGCTGTGAGACAACAGCAGTGTCATTTTCCTCTGGCAGCACTGGGAGACCGCCAAAAATCTCCCCGTTCCACACCAGGACATTTCCAGTGTTGTCTTGTACTGGCTGGGGTGTGAGAAGACCTCTCATGTGAAGAACATGGGCAGAGAATAAACACTGATAGCAGGGATTTGTGCCTCTGACTGTGAGATCCTGATTCCAGTTGGGCCCTCTTCTCTGCAAATGTTCATGGACTGTTTTGTCCCACTCTAACTGAGCAGGTGACAGACTCAACAGACAGAAGATGCCACACATTGTTGTGGTGAAGGTCAGTCCTACATATCCTGCAGATCCTTTTTCATGCTATCCAGTTCCTCTGGAGACAGAAAATATCATCTGTTATGTCTATCTACAACATGATGGTTTATGGTCAAACTTTATTTGTCCAGCCTCGGGTTTTAACAAATAAGACAGACAGATGCCAGATAGTTTATCTATTAAAGTGATATGAATTAACTTAAACGTACAGCTCTCAACTTACTTTTGCATGAACCCAGCGTCTGACTTCTGTCTGCTAGGAAGAAAATGTTACTGTTCCTTTGCTGAATGTAGACTCTCTGATAAAGGAACACATAAGAAATGCACATCAATACATACAGAAATACATATGTTGCTCCTGAGAGAAGTCTTTATAAAAAAAAAAGAATAAACGTTACTTGAGAATTTCTCTTTAGAGATGCGTCTTACAACAAGAAATTCATATTAATTGTTGCCAGAGCATAATTACATTAACTAAATAACTAAATAAATATGTCAGTTTCATGTACACTCGCTCACCCTGCTTTTCTTCAGATTAGAGAGCTCGTCCAGTAAAACCTTCTGCTCCTTGATCTGTAAGTGAGTAACGCAAATTATTTCACTGACGTGATGAAAAGGAAACACTTCAGGCAACAAAGTATCTGACTTCGTAAGAAAGATAGTCCCGAAAGTCCGCGTGTTTCAACATTAACGTGTGTTAAATCATAGTTATATCCTGAAATGAGACATGCTACATGTTTACCAGCTAATTTGAGGCTATTAAATTAGCCACCAGCAATATGATACGGCCAACACTAACGTTACCTTTTTGTTCAATTCCTCCTTCAATGCAGACTGTCCTTCAAAGTTATCGTCGTTATCCTGACTTTTTGAAGACATTTTGGTCAGATTTTCTTTATATTAATGTAAGTGAAGCTAGCTATCCCCAGTGTAAACACATGCTCAGTAGCTTTGAAAGTTTTTCCGGGTGCGGAGGTCTGACCCGTAGAGACTTTACTGCCCCCTGGAGGTGGGCGGTTCAAACATCATTTCCCCATCTCCATGTAAAACTCCATGCACCATGCAAATTTATATTTTAATATTTTATTGGTATACACTTGCTTAGTCATAAATGTCTGGTTGAATTCACAATGCATTGAAAATTAAAAACAGAGGATAAATCTCCTCATAGAGCACAAATTGCCATGAGTAGGAGGTATCTTTGATTTCTCCTTTCATAGTACAAATATCTGTGTGATGTTAATAAAGAAAACTGACTTCAAGCAGTGTAATTGGGATCTCGTTGTTATACATTTGTAGCCTACCTTTTATTTCTATAGTAGCCTAAACTAAATGACCATGTTAATGCATTCAGAACCCAATTATGTTCCAAACACAAAAACAATATTGTAATGATTGATTTGTACTCTAAATGCACACATTAATCATTAGAAAAAGAATCATTATAATAGCCTACTTGTTTTTTTTCTGCCCCATCCACTGGACAAAGAATTTTAACCCAGAAACTACCTAAAAGTAAAAATAACAATAAATGGTCTTATTAAATCTTCTCTTTCTTTCAAGAAAAAAAAACCTAAGTTTATTTTTATTTGATTTTTTTAAATTGTTAACTCACATCAATAAATATTGCTTTAAAACACATCGCTCATGCATTCAGATCTACCATCCATTAACTACAGTGGATGGATATTTTTGAAAAAAAAATAAATACATTTTGAGTAAAAGCTATAAATCTTTCACACTAATTTTTGACCTAATATGACATCTCGTGTTTACTTAGACACCATTTAAACACAAATTATGTACTTTAACAATATGATAAATGGACTGAAATGTGCCCAACACTTCCTCCCTGCCTCATGGTCGGCCATGTTTGTTAAAAAAGGGGGCGTGTCTTTACTGCAGTCCACTTTACATGATGTGGAACACTGTGACTGGCTTAAAGACATCCCATCAAATAATTAAGTGCTCTTGGGTGGATTCAGATGACAGTTATTATAGATCCAAGCATCCTAGAAAGGCTATATCACTTGGAATGGATGGGGGATCTGAACTGATACAGCAAAATATCAATAGGTTAATAATGTTTGTGTTCTGCAAAGTTCAGCATCACCATACATCTACAGTCTACAGTCGTGTGGCTAAATATTCATATTGTTCTCCTGTCTTCTTCCGTTTTATGTAACTGTCCCTTTTCCTTTACAATCTTTCTGAAACTTGCATCGCAGTGTCATTAATCTTTTAGAGCATTTTAAAGGTCGTCCACGTTTGCTATAAGTCAATCAAAACAAACTGCACGCTCAATGAAAGACCAACATTTCCCCATACCTGCATGTCATTGGGCTGAGGCAGAAACAAACACAGTCACATTGAGAACATGCAAACTCTCAGGACTTTTCTACTGTGAGGCAATCGCAGTAGCCACGCGTGACCATGCTGCCATTCGTCAAGACCTTGGTAAATAAAACTTGGCTTGTGTCAGTCAGTCCCAGTCATATGAATTTAGTCCCCGTGTTACTGTTTCCACCAAGGTGGAAAAGTGACTCAGATGATGAGAGAGGAAGGAAATCAACCGTGTTGTTGTGACAGGAGTATCACAAGAGTGTGTAGGAACAAAAATTCTGGAATGAACTGCAGTGATCACTGATGTAAGTTCAAAAATTAATACACAAAGGTATATTTTAGCAAGTCTATAGACATGCTAGCCGGTTTTGAGGTTTTATTTAAACACAGCATCATTTTGAGTTAAATGCTAACATCAGCATGTCAACATGTTCACAATGATAATGTTAGCATGCTGATGCTAAGCAGATATAATGCTCACCATCTTACATAGTTTAGCGTGTGTTAGCCCACTGCCATTTGCTAATTAGTGCGAAACACAAAGCTGAGGCTGATGGGAATGCCGTCAGTTTTACAAATATTTCTTCATCAACCAAAGTGTTGGCCCAAATCTTTACCTGTTGGTGGCGCAAGAGAAAAAGTCAGAGGATCACCAAAGTCAGTAGGGACTATGATTGTCTGTTCAAAAATGTCACGCCAATTCATCCAATATTTGCTGAGTCTAAGTAGTGGACTGACCGACTGAGCGACATGGCCATCCCTAGAGCCTCACTAATAGTGAGGGGAGAGCATTAGTCATTCACTTGGCATGCAGGGATTGAAACCAGCATCCTTCCATTCACATGTGGTACAAACAGAGATATTTTTGAGGACCTGAGCTTCGCTGGCCTGGCAGCGGTCAATAACCAGCAAAGAGAAATTACCCTGGATGACACAAATGTTGATCTTTCTCCAGCTGTGGGTCAAGCACCCTTCAAACACACCTGTCTGAGGTCTCACGTTGGTTTGCTGCCCACTGTGCTGCAATGTTGTATCGATCTAAAACAGCTGTCAGCTGTTTACCACTTCATTCCCTGGAAACAAGGGCTGTCACTTTTGGTTAGGTGTCCAGGTCATCGCAGTCAGACAGTGACCTTTGATGTTTATTGTTCTTCAGTGGCGCTGTCAGGCATACATCAAAGTTTTAGGCCCTGTGCAGCGGTGGATATCCATAGAAACAATAAGACCACAACACTGTTATGTTCCAAATATGGGTTATGGTGATAATTATAATCACTGTGTCTGGTGTTCGTTGGTCACTGACATGGTTGGTAATCTTACTGTGTCCATTGTTAGGAGATTTTGGGAGACCTCAAAAGCCCAGTCCCAGTCATTCCAGCTAAATATCAATGAAGTTGCTGAACCAAGAGGGCTGTACTGTAATACCTCTTAGCTGTACTGCAACAAAGTCGAAGAGCTCAGCAGAAAAAAAGAACAGAATCCCTGCATGAAGAATAGATGAATAATCTGATCTAGCCTGACATACACCATCCTTCAGGTGAGATTTCACATCCTCCCTCCACCTCTATCCCTTCTTTAGCTGTGGCTTGTGAGTGTCAGACAACGTAAGGCCGCAGGAGGCAAGTCATTCTCATATTTTTGTCCTGAAAGTATAAATATAGCTGACGTAAACACAGCTTGTTGTTCCGCAGCTGGGCTGAAAAAGGATCCCATCAGGGGCAGACACATTGCAGGTCACATGGCCACAAAATGACACAGCAGCCGTCTGACCACTGATGACAGGTAACTGAGCCTGGCTGACACACTGGCCCACTAATAGTGTGGTAATCTGTTTGTACCAGCTCAATGTGTGCAGACTTTCAAACGACTGAGAGCTCTCTGTGATCCTTGAATAGATCACAAAGGGATAGAAGTGCCTATTGTCATCACTTGCCTCAAAATATGTGCTTATGTTCCTTGTTAGTGTCAATTTAGTTCCCTCACAGGATGAGATGGCACATAGTAGGTCTACGTGTTGCTGTGGGCCAAAGAGAAACTAGTGCTTTTCATATTTTTTTAACATCTACATGTACAAAAATAATAATAAGTAGATTTTAGTAGCCCAGCACATATATTTATAGTACTACATGCTAAAATATTGTGATTATATGTAGACCATGACTACATAACCACCTCGAGAGCTAGTAGGCTGGAAAAGGGTCACATATTAAAGGCTACATGCAGGGCCTGGTTAACTCTATTAGGGGCCCATTGGTGAAAATGAGCTGCAGGCCCCTACTGACACCTCATTTCTCCCACTCTCTGTGCATTGTGGGTGTATAAGTTCGTAATTACTAAGTAGTTTTTGCTAACGTAATTAAACTTAAATAGAAAAGGCCTTAAAGCAGTAATCTTAATTTTGGCAAAGGCTTAAGGTTCTGTATGTGACATTTACAGTACTGATATAGCAGAAAACAACTATTTGCTATGTAAGGGCCCATTCATTGTTTTCACATCTGCCAATCCATTTTGGTCTGTGTGATGTAAATGTCATCATTCATTTGTGTCCGCAGGGACTTAATTTTCTGTGATGGCACGGACTGTATTCATAGTAGGCACACTGACTCTGCATTTTCCAATCTCTTGTTCCACACCCCGGTCCAGTCCAAAACACTGCGGTCAAGCCAGCTGCAGA